TACCAGAAATTCTGCACCAGCAACTGTACCGACACTCACAGCTAATTATGGTGTGTTGGTGCGTCATTTCCATTGTTTACTGATAGTTGCTGGTAATATTTTTTCAACCTAACGAGAGCTATTATATCCGTTTAGAAGGTCAAAACCCCAATTTTTTGCCAAATAATTTGGTCTTAAAACTTGAACTAGACTTACGAGTATATACGGTAAATAAGGACATGGGGGTACCAGGTTTTTTTTTTTTTTTGGGGGGCAGCACATATGTGCGGATTTTAACCTCCACAGGTATCTGTTACGTAACCGCGTATGTTAAGGGCCAACTCTTGCGCACTTTTATCTGCAGTCTGGGGAGGTGAAACGCTCAGGAACCAATCAGCTATTTATGAGCTATAGAAGGGTGTGTGTGGCTTACAGGCAGCTCAACAAATACTATAAAGTAATACACACTTTTCAGTAACCCATTACACTGAAGTGGCTAAATAAAATCACCTGTTGTTCTAGTTATCTGCTCGGGAAATTTGGAGTAGTTTGATCAATAACTTTTTTATAAACTGTGAATAAATAATATGAACAAGATCTGCATAATTCTAACCACTGTAAACATTCACCAGTTCACCATTTCTCATCACTCATAATCATCTACTCACATACTTGGCCTCATCTGAACTATGTACAGTATTAATATATTTGTGTAGCCTATATCCCCCAGATATACATCTTCTTGAATTAAATGTAATCAAGATCATAAATATAAACACAAATCTTTTCTCCAATATCAGAGATTACATAATTTTTATATTGTAAAACAGGAGGGGTAAATGAGTAAATGTACTTACTCCTACAAACATGAAGGGGTGAAAGGCAGGTACCTGGACTTAAATCCTCCTTAATACATATAGGTTGGTCTGTTTCACACCCAGCATATTCCTCACGAGGTTTGTCAAGATCACCCCTGTTGTCATAATGACATTCTATTAGGGTCATGGGAAGGAGCCCCCAAACCCTTTAACACATGCACACCGGGTTTAGGTTGGGCTATAAAGCTTCACATGTTGCCCAGCCCAGTCGTTGCACCTCCGCTGTAGAGAAATGCAATCTTCTTAAACACCATGTTGATAAGTAATTTGAGAATATATATGTACAGTAGCTAAGCAACTATCTGTGGTGGGGTCGATATGCTCTGAAATTTTACATGTGAATCATATACTGAGGTATTATCGTCCATGGTCTCACATTGTTTCCCCACAAAGTATACTGAAAGTTGTTTAGCTACTGTACAGTCAGCAATAAAATCTACTCCTGCTGTGCATAACGATGAAACATCGGTGAAGACTTAAAATCTTCTCTGTTATCTGTCGTGTATTGGTAGGACTGGTCTTGTGTGTTAGTATTCCCATAAATGTACAGTATTTCATAATAATTCCATATCTATTTCATCCTAGTATTAAGTATATAACATTATTGTGGTTGTGTATAGAACAATTTTTTTTCAACGTAATGGCAATATATAATGGGATACAGTATTTCATTAGATGAATTATATAAAGAAAAATGATGAGAGACGGTGATATAAAGCACAAACCTTTCGGTTGCATATATTTAGCATCAATATAAGTATTGATTTACGATGTTGATATTATTGGTAAAAATGTAAACGTCTTTCTGAACACAATGCTGTTGAATTAAATTATCTAGATACCATATTGTCAGTTTAGTGGAGTATGAAAATAGTCCCAGTCCTTTCATGACAGTATTGTACGTTACACTGGTCTTATACACACTGCATAGTCAAAACATTGAAGCATAATTTACTTTAATTAATCATGACTGATAATCCTGATTCTTAATGTAACTTTGTAATTATAGGTTTGAAAAATATACATACAGTACTATTCAGCTTCTATTTAATGTGTGATGAAACACTTGTGAAGAAACATGTTTTATGCACGTTATTGAATACTGTATAATACTACGAATATTCCTATAACGAACGGTTTACCTATAAAATTGCGAGAATGCTATAACAGGCAAACTCCTACAACGAACATTATTTAATTTTTTTTAACATTATTACAAATATTATGATATTCTTTATTGGGGTTTAATTATATTTATGCACTTTTTACAATTTTACAATTTTATATTTATATTTTCGGTATTAAGTGGTTGTATTTGGGGGCCTGGAACGGATAATCTAACGAATGATGCTATAACGAACAAGGTTCTCGTTAGTTAGATTCGTTCGCCAGATTCGAACCCACGGCACACAAGCCTATATTTGTAGAGACGCTAACAACTGGTACGGTTATAAGCAGTCTGACTTTGTTATATTTCACACAAAGCCTGTTCAATGACTTATGGCGCCGTGAACCTCTAATGAGGACACCCGTATCACTTAGGTGAGCAACGTTTTGCAAATCGGCTTCAAGCACGAGGATCCATATATATTTCATTAGCCCAATAAAGCACGCGGACTACATACAATCAACACCTCAACCGCCAGGATTCAGAACCCCACAGCACACAAGCCTATGACTGTGACAGGAGAGCGTAACAGCTGGACCACCAGGATGCTAAAAGCAGTCCTAGACTTTGTTATATTTCACACAACCTGTTCAACGAGCTTATGGCAATGGGCCTCTAAAATGAGGACCATCATGGTGGTAACTTCGTTTACCAAATCCGGTTTTTGTTTTATTTTGTTTCTAATTTATTGTTTTTTATTACAAGTATTAATGATATTCTTTTATTTCAGGGGTTTAGATGCATATTTATGCACTTTTTACAATTTTATATTATATTTTCAGTGTTAAGTGGTTGTATTTGGGGCCTGGGCAGTTAATCCTATAGCGAACTAATGCTACTTGAACAGGTTCTAAACCAATTAGATTCGTTATAGCATACCCCACTGTGTATATATATATATATATATATATATATATATATATATATATATATATATATATATATATATATATATATATATATATATATATATATATATATATATATATATATATATATATATATATATATATATATATATATATATATATATATATATATATATAATATAACAAGAGTACCTTGCTGTCTTTATTAAGACATCTTCAGAGGCAACTGAGTTGCTCTGAAATGCAATAAACAACAAATTATCATTTCATTGTGGATTTACATGAAAATTATATATATATATATATATATATATATATATATATATATATATATATATATATATATATATATATATATATATATATATATATATATATATATATATATATATATATATATATATATATATATATGAAAATAGTTATAAAGAAAAGATGTAAAAATTAATATTTGGGTAATAAATAGTGGTGTAAATTGTGCATTTTGATGAGCTCACCCATGCCAGGTACAGATTATTAATTTTTTCCTCTGAGTGAAGAAGATAATTATACATATTGAGTCATAGCAAGATATTATTGATAAAAAGGTCAGGTTTGTTGCATTAGCATCGTAAATACATTACCTTATCTGCAAATAGTGATGTTAACAGATGCAATTATCTCTAAATCTTCATTTGTATCAGGTATAACATTAATAAATAATAATGTTTTGTCTGGAAGAGTTGGGTGCCTGCAGTACAGATGCTTATCATCTTGGGTTATCATCATCAGTATATACTACAGGTATGTCTCATTTAGTTATTGTTCACTATGCAATCTAAAATTTTTAACACCCTTTCTCATTTAACAACCATAAATTTTCGGTTTAGCAATCTTCAACTCACTTGAAAAAATTGGGGGAAGTCGAAAAACTGAGGATTCTGTGTTTCAGTGCACATCATTAAAATACTGTACTGTGACATAGAAATAAAGAAAAACTGTTCTATATACTGTCAACTGTACAGTACAGTATTTTATAGTTTATAGCTATGCAGTATATAGGTATTCCTTGCTATAGAAATGGATTATGTTCCTGAAATCATTCGTTAAGTGAATTTTCGTATCTTGAATAACAGAACATATGGGGAAAATAGGGTCTGGTTCTGCAAAGACAAAAACCACTATCAAGAATTGGTTCACAAACAACAAAAACCTACATAACTAAAGATAGATATTACAGAACTCCTGTAATTTTACTACTTATAACATTAAAAAACATTGACAAAACATAATCTAGATAAAAATATGCAGCTAAAACCATTAAGGAAGAGCTAAATAATGTTTAATGCAAATGCTATTTGCATAGACACTGGCTGCATGGCCTCAAGCCTCACCATAGCAACACAGACCAGCTGGGAATTTTTCCAACCCTTAGCAACGGGTTTATCATGCTAAAGGTTTATCTAATAGAAAGCTTGATATGACTTAATATGAACAATTACCTTCTGCACTCGGAGGAAAAAAATTAATAATCTGTACTGCCCTGGGCAAGTTCATCAAAACGCACAATTTACACCTACTACAGGTATTACCGCTTAAATATTAATCCTTTCACCACTTTTCTTCAATAACTATTTTTTACAAATATGTATGCTTTATAATGGCATAAGGTTCATATTGCAATCACATAAAATAACGAAGGTACAAAGTGATGTACTGTATGCTGTATGAACATTTTCGTTAAACGAACAAAATCTTTGTGCTCTACTCGGACTTAAATAGAGAAATAATTATTTTATTGTGATTAGTCATATAAAACTGTTTGTACATAATTCATTTAGAATGCTAATGCAACAAACCCCAACTTTTTATCTCAAATAGCAAGCTTGCTATGACTCATAGTGTACAATTATCTCGAGTGGTGCAGTCAAGTGTGGAGGTAAATACCGCTAGACCTCGAGCATCCGCTGCCATTTCATATGCATTAATAGGTAAAGTACTTATAGAGAATTTTGGGGTACCTTTCTGGATTGTGTGACAATGTGTAGTGACCAAGAGGTTCTACTGGCTATGCTACTGTACAGTGGGAGGAGTATTGGCTCTATGTTTCATCATACTGTACCTTCTTTAGTACACAAAAACTCTTGATCCAGAGTCTGCACTCCACTCTGAATTACATGGTGGGAACATCTTTTTCTTCTTGTCTTCACTATCTCTGTGACTGTAAGACTCGAAATCCATCGCTGTAGGTCAAAGTAATATGATGTTGGCTCACCTTTTCATCATAGTAGCGACCAATTAATTTCCTGTAGAAAGGCAATGATTTTTAATTAAATGATTATACCTGTACTATATTATAAGGTAACTTAATCCAAAAACTAGGTATCTGGTATTTTAACTGCAGATGGGAACAAGACAAAATCAGTGCTGAGATATAGGCTGTTACATAAAATGCCCTTATAAGTACTGGACAATAAATTTAAAGGTTAAAGTACGGATGGTAGAAATTATGACCACGTAAACATATTTTACCTGGTAATTGTATGTGCTTATTCAAAACACAGAGCTTTTTCTTAAATGATCAAATGACAATAAAGATAAAATGAAAACCTATCAAAAGACCAAAATGTAAAATTGAGAAAGTACAAATGCTATGTGCAATCCAAATTAAGCTAGTCGACATGATGTGACAAATGTCAGTATCACCCTTTACCACTTAGAATACTATACAGTATTAGATTCATAAAAAATAAACATGACACTACACTAATAAAGCACTAGATGATAACAACTACAGCAAGGGAAACACTATTCAATAAAGCACTAGATGATAACAACTACAGTACAAGGAAACACTTAATAAAAGCTAGATGATAACAACTACAGTACAAGGGGAAACACTACCCTACACTAATAAAGCACTAGATGATAACAACTACACCTTTTCACATATCTACTTCACTCTTGGTTTTAAAATAAAGTTTCCTAAAATAAACCGAACTGTTCTTTTGATCCTTTTCAAGACAGAATATACACTTTATCAATTTTGCATTATTACTATACATCTTTAAAACAAATGATATCTGATATACTGTACTGACTAATGAATTCCTACCAAATGATTAAAGACATCACTCAATAAACTTGCAATCCTATTCGTAGTTCTGTCAAGATTTAGATAATGGTCATGTTAGCTTTGAAGTGTTACTAAGATTTTAGAATGTTCATCATGTTAATACAGTAATGACTTTTAAGAACAAAAAATTTCCCTAGTTTCGCGGCCCCCCAAAAAAAAATGATCACAATTATTATGTCTCTAAGTATAGCAGTATAGTACAATATATCACCCTTATTTATGAAAACCCCAACAAAGAAACCACTTTATAGTTTCCTTTAAAGATACTGTAAATCAGGACTGATATTACAGTACTATACTGTATATGGTATCTATACAGTGTATTTATCCTAATGAATTAAATGGATGTTTATATTCTGGTCTAAAATATGAATTACTTTTTAAATTTACTTTTTTAATTAGTCTTACAATCATAATTCACATATACAGTACAGTATTTTTCAGCTATTTTGTTCCAAGATATTTCAGATATTTTTGCTCATTAAAGGGGTCATGTCAGGACCTTTAAATCCATTGTACAGTAATAGGTTAAAGCACATTGAATACAGAACAGGGTACTGTATAATTTGATCATATACTTATCCTTAAGCAGAGAGACTCCATTTCAACATTACTACAATAATACTGTACAGTACAGAATAGAACTTACCCACATATTTGTAATCCTTATCATAAAACTTCTGACCCAGTCAACAAGACCAATATAGTCAGCACTTGTCAATCCAGAGACATCATCATTAAGTCCTGCTCTCGTAAAATCTCCACTGACAAATGCTCTACTTCCATCACTACCTGTAAAGTTTAATTGTCAACCTTGAATCATAAAATCAATCCTCACCTAATCTATTAAATACAATACTGTACTCTGATAGTTATTACAACAAGAAAAAAGGGTTGCCTCATGATCCTCCCCCTTTAATATCCTCCTTGGACAATAATTACCATTTGCAGATGAATTCATGACATCTCAGCTGCTAAAGTAGCAGAGCAGTGTTTTGGTTGAAAAGAACTTAATGAAACTACTGTACAACAGATCAAGAAATACAGGACAGTAATATGGTATATTAGCCTACTGCAATAGACAATGGAATTGGGGGTGCTGCAGAATATGGTACAGGTAGTTCTCCTATTGCGATAATTGTGTTCTTGTAAAATATCGTGTTATAGAAAATACGTAATAAATAACATGGCTTATGGAAAATAGGGTTAGGTGCAGATTACTCAAAATCGAAAAAATTTAGTAGTTAGCTAACACAAGGGATAGCACAGTCTAAAAAATGTTACATTCATATCTAATAATGAAATCATACAGTAAATGTAACACTTTACTTGATAGGGAGAAGGGTGATTTTGAAGTTGATAAAATCGAGCTTCTCTTCAAGTGTTATATCCTTTCTTTTATGATCATCACCAGGAATTCTATCACCAGAAGCGCTTCTTGTTGATATTCTTCTTTACTATATTCACAGTTAATACCACAAAATTGGAGAAATAGTAAGCAAAAATGGCGTTATAGCAAACAAGCGTTACGTTATACAAATATCGTTCTAATTCATAAATGGCGTTAGAAAATCGGCGTTATCAAAACCGCAGCGTTATAGCAGAACTCACTGTACTCGGTATGGGTTTCAGGTGCCGTGAAAAAAGATAAAACAACCAAACCTACCAACTATCCTACCTTCCTTGATAGTGCATTAATTTTGTTGGGTTAATTAGAACTAAAGAATAAATGTTGAATTCCCCTTTTTTTTCATATTTAAAAAATATAAAGTAGTTTTCTTCACCAGAACTTTTTCTGAAGCTACTCCTTTGGTGTAGTTAAGACCAACTGCCTGCCTCAACTACCATTTGTGTAAATTTCCCCAAGGAATATAATGTTTTATTAAAAAAAAAATTGAAAAACAAGCTCGGTAGACCACATACTATAGTAGCTCCAGCTCGGTAGACCATACTATAGTAGCTCCAGCTCGTTAGACCACATACTATAGTAGCTCCAGCTCGATGGCGCATACTATAGTAGCTCCAGCTCGGTAGACCACATACTATAGTAGCTCCAGCTCGGTAGACCACATACTATAGTAGCTCCAGCTCGGTAGACATACTATAGTAGCTCCAGCTGGGTAGAGGCGCATTAAGTAGCTCCAGCTCGGTAGACCACATACTATAGTAGCTCCAGCTCAGTAGACCACATACTATAGTAGCTCCAGCTCGGTGACCCATACTATAGTAGCTCCAGCTCGGTAGACCACATACTATAGTAGCTCCAGCTCGGTAGGCGCATACTATAGTAGCTCCAGCTCGGTGGCGCATACTATAGTAGCTCAGCTCGGTAGACCACATACTATAGTAGCTCCAGCTTGGTGAGGCGCATACTATAGTAGCTCCAGCTCGTGAACCACATACTATAGTAGCTCCAGCTTGGTAGGCGCATACTATAGTAGCTCCAGCTCAGTAGACCACATACTATAGTAGCTCCAGCTGTTAGACCACATACTATAGTAGCTCCAGCCTAGTGAGCGCATACTATAGTAGCTCCAGCTCAGTAGACCACATACTATAGTAGCCCCCATTTCCCAACTACGGAAAAATTTCGAAATTTTCCTCTCTTTAAAAACCCGCCCACTTTGGAACAACCAATATTATGGGTAATTTTATCAGTTAAAATACTCGAAAAATGTAAATTTCGATGGAGAAGTTATATATTTTTTTGTTCTCCTATATGTTTGATATATAAGTAGGTGCTGGCAATTTCTAAATATGATCTTACCCGAGTGGTCCAAAAGTAAAATAATCTGGTTATAGGACTAACCTTGGGCACTGCATAGTGCCAATGTGGCCGTATCATCTCAAGTCCAGAAAATGCCTCAATTCACCATACCATATTAAGTTCTTTCCTGTTTAATATACGGAAAGTTAGGTAAGGTTAGGTAGGTTTTGGTTGGTTAGGTCTGTTCTTCATAGCTACAAATGTTTAGTGGCATTTATTTTAAAATGTAAATTTTTTTCAAACTACAACATTGTCCACTATAATATAACAATGAAAATCCAGCGTTTTTATAATTGTTTTCAATCAATTTTGCTCATGGTTAGTGCTATATAATTAAAATAATACAAATGTTTATTTGACTACTGACTAAAAATTCATATCCTCCTCCTGGTCCATAATGTTGCTTGCCCTCTTTAACATTGTACACTCGTCCAAGAAGAGCTAAATATGGTCCCCTATTTCATCATGTATCTTTTGTTGGGGTAGTCTCTTGGTTTTCTTTGTAGGAGGAGAATTGAATTTATCAGGGGGAGGTGTGGAGTGAGGCCGCGGATGGCCATGGTGGTGGCCCTCATGTACTGTGGCCACACTTCATGTAACATTATCCCCAACACAGCTATACTTATTGACGTTAACAATACAAACTTAATATAACGATACATTTTGTTACAGGCCCAGTTCTCAAAGTTCCTTACTCGCACGGTGATGAGTTTGGTACTATCACGGTGACAGGTTCTTATAACAACAACAAACTGAGGAAAATATAACCACAGAAGGAAACTCTGACGGCCAGTAACACACGATTATTGCTTACTCCGTCGTTCAGTAGATGGCGGTGGTAGTGACTGAACCCGTAGATGGAGTTTGGCCAACCTGGCGCTATGGCTTCGCGGTTCCGGATTTACGAGAAAGTGAACAAAGGCCACTAAGAAGACAAGAAAACACAGTGCTGTCTCGGCCTTACTGCTGGTGTAGCAGACCAGAAGTCTACGAAACGACAACTCCTCGCCGAGGAACGCGCATGCGTACGTAGTAGGGTGTGTCAATTTTGTCAACATGTTAAAATCAAAATTTGGTAGTCAAAATATTGTGCCTCTTTATGTCTAAGCGAGATTAGCAAACAAAAATGAATTGAAATAACCCTCACCTACATCAATTATACCCCTTAAGTTTCAAATACAGTATTTCAACAAATTAATGAGACAGTTAGAATTATTCACTTGATATTAACTAATCTCATGTAAGCATATGGATTATGGAGTATTTTATGGTTCTATAGCTTGTGTACAATATGCATCAGAACATGAACATGAACAGGCTCTCCGTGTGGGACAGTTTAATTCTTGTTTTGACTTGTACCAAACTTGTGAGGATAAACGCCAGCTCACTCTCCTTCTAATATCATAGACGGTGGTTTTTGCTCTCGTGCACTTACCTACTCTACCAGACGAATTCTACATTTTAATTATTGTAAGTAAGACGTATTGATTGTCGCGATTACTTATATCATTGTATAAAACATTATGTTCTAAGAATTATTATGTTATTTCTGTTACAGCATTTTGATAAACAAATTGATATTTTTGAAACAACAATTGAATTGCAAAGAACATTGAAATATTTTCTGTTGTCAGATGGTGTAGAAGATGTCAAAAATTGAAGACAAAAGAAGTCAGTTGTCAACCCGCCAGGCCTGCTAGTTGGTAAAGGAAGGAGCTTCCTGTATCAGAACTTCCAACAGTAGAGACATGCTAAGATTAGGGTTACTCCTTCGAGAAAAAAATGCAAAGGACAGAAGAACTATACAGATAAAAAGAACTCATAAATGACATGATAGTCCCTCTTCTGCATCAATGGACAAAAAGCTAATGCACTATTCAAACCACCTGTGATTAATCGGTGTCGAACTATTGAGCTAAAACTAACGAAATTATGGCACAAAGCAGTTTGAAACATCACTTGGTAAAAACTTGGCCAGGAAAAATGAATTTCTGCACACATACGATACTCTGTTTGACATTTTGACCTGCAAGTGCTCCATACCAATTATGTTGCGAATCAACTGTTCTCACTCGGGTAGAGAAAAATAATTCCCACATTGATTGTGGTTGTCCTCGTCGAAAAAGAAAGATCCTGTTTTAGGCTTGAATTTATAAAAGGCACAGGACAAGGCAGAAGGCCAAGGAAGTATACCAAATGGGTTCAATAGATTATTCAGAAACAAAAGCAGATTGCTAATGCCAAGAAAGAGAACAAATCGAGAGAGGAACAAAAAGAAGAAAATGAAAGAGTGAAAAGCCATCCAAAGAGGAAGAGCTGTGTCAAGATGTTTTATCACTTCTTTGATAGTTCTTCTGATTAACGGAAAGCAACATCAGATGATAGTTCAAAGAGCCATCTTCTGAACCTTTACCAAAATGAAATACAACACAAGAAATATTTCAAACATTGCTTTAGCGAGTGTTCGCCACCATGCTGGACTTCGTGAGGCTGCAGGGAAATTGCAACTGCCGCTTGGATAAATGCAGGCCTCATCAGCGAGGAAGGATGTATCTTTTGGTGATAGATCATAATAAAATTAGAAGAGCACAAAAGAAAAAATAATAAGAAGGAAATATCTGATCAGCATAAGAAAAAGATTTAAAAGCGAGGGAGGCTCTCCTGTCTTTGTTTGATGGAAGAATAGATGACACAAAGTTTTGCTAGAAGTAGAGGAGTGAACAGAGAAAGTTTCCAGGTCTATCAAGAAGAAGACACTACTCTGTCTGTTTCTGAGCCTGAGTGGTCGGTTTTTGTTTCACTTTGCTCCCGAGGCACAAGAGTAGAAGGAAGAAACTTGCAGAGGTCATTGCTGATCATATTTTATGTTGGGTTCAGGAGAGGACTTGGCAGTTCCTGCAGGCTGTTGGTGGAGATTCAACTGCAGTGAACGCACTGGATGGCAGAGGGGTGTAATGACGCATTTAGAGAAAAAACTAGGAAGAAGACTTGTTTGGATTGTATGTGATTTACATGCAGACGAGAGCTACCTCTTCGTCATCTCATCCAGGAACTTGATGAATCGCTACAAAGAAGCAACAACAAGTGGTCAGGTCCCCTTGGCATCATGCTGGATGAAGCAACACAACTAAAATAATACAACCTTTCCAAAAGGTCGAAGTTGGCCCTCCCTTTCCGGCGTTGTCTGAAGGAGTCATCAAAGATCTCAGCACAGATCAATCCTATTATCGTATTGCCCAAACAATAAAGATCAGGAAAGATGCCTCCTGATCATTGGCTCTCTTGGAATTGGACCTGTCAGTCACAGCCGTTGGTTAACTACAGCTCTTACGTTTCTGCAGGATTTGGATTTCCAAACACGAATTGAAGGGCAAAGTGCTGAAGAATTTGAGGTTAATTGTTGATTTTATTATTGGAGTTTATCTTCCCCAGTGGTTTTAGTGTGAAACTTAATCCTATGTGGGTGGATGGGCCCAATCACCTTTGTTTCAATTGCAGCTAGTAGAACACAGAGGAAGGTAGTAGAGGGACATCGTGTTACCTGTGGCCAGAAAGGTCAACAGTATGCTCGATCAGAAGCAGTTTGCAAACGTGCTTTAAGTCAATGTACCAATCTCCGAACCGAGGGCTGTAGAAGTCATTCTAAAGATTAGAGGAACGCTAATAGATGACGACCAGTTGGGGAACTGTTCGTTTCATTCAAGAAAAAGTTCCCCAATAAACGTCAATGCCACCAAATTGTCAGAATTGGTTGACTTGAGTTTAGAGTCTTAGGACCACCATTGACAACAAGTCTAACTAGCAGAATTGAAACCTTAAAAAGAGAGACTCCAATGCAGGTGCGAAGTGGCCTTCCCACACTCAAAAGTGTGGAGAGATGTCGAAAATGGTCACAGAAGCAGCGGGGCCATGTTTACAGCCACGAGGCGAAGGTTACATCAAAGCACAAATAGCAAGCGAATACTGATGACAAAAGAAACCAAACAAAGAGAGTATAGAAGGCATTGGTTACTTTCAAATAGACTACGGATAATAAAATATAATAATTTGAAACTTGAAACAGTAACATGTGTGCAAACGCTGGTTATGTTATAAATTCACAAATATGTACATTTAAAAATCCATTTGATGTAGGTAGGACTTATTATAAAAAAATTTATGCCAGAATATTGTTTTGCATGCTTAAAGACTACAATAAATTGCCTGCGATTACTCGATTTTTCAATTTAGCCGGATTTCACCCCTAAATTGACACCTAGTGGACACACCCTAGTGACGTAGTGTCAACAAAGGCTAGACCGGCTCCTTAAAATTCGTATTTCTGACGAATCAGCGCTGTCTATTAATCCCAGCCTGTGCAGACAACTATAGTAAGACCCAGTTATCAGCACAGTGGCATATATTTTTTGTTACTTTTGGACTTTGTCATTTTGGGATAAAACATCTGGTCCTGCCACCCGGTCCTCTGAGCAAAGTTTTTCGGTTTGCGATGCGCAATGTGATAGTGTGAGGTAGCAGTGACGTCATTACCACTCCACCTGACTGCAGTCTTGCCAACGTGCCCTATGCCCGCCGTTAAACGCTCCCGTTCTTGTGGAAACGGCGGCAGTAGGGTGACAGTGATGCTGACGACTTTCTTCTGAAGACACGTCAAAGAAGGAGAAACCCTGAAGTCAGGGTCTCCAGCAGGGCCATTGCACCCTTCTGGGCTGTAGAGGGTGGACTCCTGTCATCGGGTCCCTGCTGGTGGGCTACATGTGGCTCAATGACCGACCCTCCGCCGATGGACATTGTTAGGGATTCCCTTTGTCTCCCCGTCCCGCTGGCCTCTCGCTGCCTCGCTGACTTGCCTCTGAGCACACGACGACCTGGTTCTTCCGTCACTGTTTCCACTTCAGGACTTCAACTCCTCGCCATTGCTGATATACAGTACATCAAACCTCTATATTAAGGTAAGTTGTTTTAACACACAAATTAACACGATAATAACCTGACTCTAACAAACCCAACCTATTGATTTGTTAGGTGGTCAGGCTAGGTTCTTTTGCTGTAATGTCATCAAGGCATGCGCAAGTTATCGTTTCAGATGCTTCTGGTCTGGGTAACTTCTGGTCCTCTACACCGAAAGGAGGAAGGCTTATAGACAAAAAAAACAGTTAGAGAAGAGTATGCTAACCAGCTCCTTTTACGTATTTTGTTGGGTCATGTTTTGAATTTGAATTTAGATTTGAGCTGGTGAAGAGACTGTAATTGACGAGGTCTGTATAACAAAGGTTTGGTGTCAACTTCATTTACTCGGTCGGTACTGTAATTACTAAAGTGGGTCATTTAACATTATATACAGTATACATTTGGTATCCATCCATCTGTTACTGGGGGAACCCTTTGTTTTAGAATATTTTATGAAGGGTAGTGGAAAGACATCTTCCATTTTAAGTTTATTCAAGACGCGTCGCATGAAGTCACCGCGTTCATCCCATCTAACTACTGTAGATACCGTGGGGAAAATGGAGCTCATTATAATGTACACCCGCAAAATTATATATAAAAATATTAGGTACACAGTACCGAGCCTTCAGTATCGACGGTCGCCGGGCCGCCCTAACCTAACCTTAACCTCACACCCACACCTCCAACAGCCAAACTGTCTGTCTTTTCACACTGCCTATCCTGCTGTCGAAGAGGACTTTTCAGTCTCCAATCAGAGTAGGGTTTTTCCGGCGTCCTTATGTTCTGCTTACCCGACTGGTTGGCACACTGTATGGGCGGGGCTATCCATGGCACCCCATATAGGTTTACATGTTATTCTTTGAGGCTGTAACTAATTGTGTCCATCCGGTCGACAAGTGCTATAAATATTGTAACGGTTGTTGTGGGTGTATGGGCTTCCCGTTGACGAGTCGAAGGCTTGGTAGTTCAATGAAGGCTATGTGCGGTCACGGCGCTGTTCTCTGCATTTTTCCTGATCTGGATGGGGCATAGATTACGTCATTGGAGCCACATGACAGTGCTGAGCCACGTTGAGATTGAGGAAGTTCGCCTTGAAGAAGTCTGTTTGGGAAAACTCGGGCGATAATATTGTTGCTGTTGGGGGTGTGTGCCGTGGGTAATATTAATAAGGTGTGTTGGGGTGTGTGTGTGTTTGGCGTCTTTGTGTAATGTGTAAGGTGTGTTAGGTGTGTGTGTAAGTAGTGATGTGTAAGTGTTTTAGGGTGTGTGTGTGTGTGTGCATTAAGGTATGTGTAAGAGTGTGTGTGTGTGTGTGGCGTGGGTAATGTGTAAGGTGTGTTGGGGTGTGTATACGTGTAAGGTAAAAAAGTGTAGGTGTGTTGAGTGTGTGTGTGTGTCGGGTAAAGTGTGGAGTGTGTTAGAGTGTGTGTGTGTCGTGGGTAAATTCTTATGGCCCCCCCCCTTCCGCCGTT